GGTTTTTTAGGGTCAAAGTCCCCTGCTGATGTGAGCAGGTCTGCAAAGATTCCCCACTCTGGCTTGTCTTGCTTGGCAGTAGGTGAGCAGAGGTCCCACATGCAGTGAGGTGCAGTGGGGCCACCCCACAAGCTAACCAGCTCCACTGGGTGCTCAGTAATATGGGGTTCTTCCGTACCTCTTGTGGTTGTTCCCAGAGAGACTTAATTTGCTGCTCTGCCCCTCTGGGAAGAAATGGGGAGCCCTCATCACTGCCACTGCTCTTGGAGAGGCAAGTACCATGGTGTCAAGGTTAAGCCCCATATAACAGTGTGTTAGAGCCCAGATTTGGTTAGTCTAGTCTGGGTCAACACAATTCCTAACTGTGGTTTAAGTAGCAGGCTGAGCTCTTTTAAGTTGATCAGGTAGGTTACAGGCTATAATGGTGACTGTCTACTTGGTTGTCTGCTTCATTAGTTCCATACATTTTTGTTAAACCTTTCTTTTGTCCAGTTAAATGTGAAGATGAGACCGGTCAACTAGGATCTACATGGTATAATTAGTTTGTATGTGCAGGTGCTTTTGTGGATAGGTGATCACTTAACATTAGCATATGTTAGATAGATGGTTGCCTTCTATAGTGTAGTTCTATGTCTTTAATTTTTGAACATAAAATGTGTACCCTAACACCCTGAGTCATCTAACCCGTAATCATCCTTCAGGCAAATCCATAGACTACTCTGCAAAGCGTGGTCAGTGGTCAGTTAACAAATGAATCAATATCCCTGCATTGTGTTGACTTTATCTTAAGCCACAGCCTTTGTAAAAGATGACAGCAAGGTGAAAGAAGGATCTAAAAAAATCTGTAGTGTTGATATTTCAGAAAAGGAATCCTGCCTTGCGTTACTTTTCTGACTAACAGAAACCCTGCCTGAGTCACCACAACTGATTGTTGTGAAGACTACAATTTAGAGAAATTATGGAAATAATGCAACTCTTTGTGGCAAATTCTTATGTTTGTCACAAAAATCATTTGGCTGAACTAATTGGCTTGATTTAGAATTCAGGTGCTTTTGGCCTTATAAGTAATACTCATTTGGCTGGAATAGAAGATACTGGAGAAGGTAAATCAGTCAGTCATTACTAGTATAACAAGTGATGATCAAATTAAAGATGATGTCTTAAGGTTCCTCTATTTCTCCTCTGTGTGCATATTTAGGACACCAGATGGTCAATGCAGTCATAATAAACCAGTGGGAATATTTAATTAAATGTGTTCCCAGGACGTTAAATGTAGGGTATTATTCTTTGGCTGATGATCAGAGTAAATATTTTGTAATAAGGGAGAGCCCTTGTAGAATATTGCTGGTAGTACATGAAAATCGCATTTGGGAACAGAAATGTGTTCAAAGCAGAACTTTCTTCACAAAATGAAGACATCTCAAATGCTAATGCCTTTTATACATATTTTTTTTTCTACCACCAATTCACTATTACTCATTACTACCCAATTATTACAAACAGCATGAGAAATAATTTTAAAATTGGTAGTCATAGAATGGAATGAGTCTAATTTAAAGTCTGTAGTCATTTAATTGGCAATAGTCACATTTTTACTGAATACTGAAGGGCTCAGATGGAACACTGACAAGCACAGTTAAGAACAAAATCTGTCTTAAAGCAGTGGTGGTTCCCTGGTAGTGAAGGAAGCCTGTTTGCTCTTGGGAGTTAATTCTGCTCCTTCTGTGTAATCTCAGAGGACTGAAAACATCTTTCCGTAGTCTGAAAATCCCTCCACCCCCAAGTATGCAAATGTCCACTAGCCCAGCAGTGATACTCCTCTGTCAATAACCTAATTATCTTTTCACCCTAACCTGTTTTATAATATCGTGACTTTCTTTATTCCCATAGAGCAGCTTTTTTTCTCCCTGTGAAAGTGAGATTAGTAGAATGAAAATAAGGATAAACTTAGCCTATTTTAATAGGCTACTTAATAACTGGAGGGGGGGAAGATCAGCTGGAAATCTGAAATACATAAAATTAGCAGGCAACTGAACTGAAAAGCAAATTACCTCACTGACTGCATCTATTTCTGAACTGGGTAGGTCATGCTCTCTAACCAGGGTTTTCTTTTGAAGAGTCCTCTCGTCTTACAGGCAGAGGACATCATTATCTACTTGTAAGAAGGCTGAGAACCTAATTCTGAAGGACACTTAATTTTATGGGGGCATTAGAAGTAAGCCGTCTTTTCTCTGACAGAATTAATGTGTGATTTTGAAAGAGTAACAAGACCTGCCATTTGACACTATCCCATTTCACTATGGGAAAAGCAAAAATTTGGGTTGGAAGCATTAGGATGGATCACTAATGTCTCTTGATTTCTAGACACACACATCTATATATTCCCAAACAGAAACATGGTTGTCCACACACAACTGTGTTAGGCCTGTACTATTGTTAAGTTTCTACAGTTAAGCAGACAAGTCTGAAAGGCCCAGAAAGCCCAGAACTAAAGGAGTTTAGATATCAAAGGTACCAATTTCTCTGAGAGATGGCACGTAAATAGGCTAGCACAGAATTTTAGTCTGCCCTCTTTGGTTAGACTGGATTTTGTTAGGACTGTGTCAAACTGCATATAGCCAAACTGATTGTTTAAGAAAGCTTTTGTGCTAGTGCTCTAAACCGACCTGCTGCAGAAATAAAATCCTATGTGGTAGAATCTGGTTAACAGAAAACGGGGAACTAGCCAATCCCTCCAGAAAGCACAAGACTCTAAGTATTATCAGTAAAAGTCCCCCTTTGCAAATTAGCAGTAGAAAAATTGTTTTGGCTATTACTGCATAGGAATAAAAGGAAGTTCAAAACTAACAGCAAACCCCCAGTGCTACAGAGCTCCTTTGTTTCCTTAGAGATCCTCCCTGCCTCAAAGCTTTCAGATGCATCTAAATTCACAGATGAACACTCTCGGCACCAGGGACAATGTGAGAGTGTTTGTTTCCACAGTTACTGTTAGGTCCAGGATCTTCACTGGCATCTGTAGTAACTAGAATTTGCATTTGTGGCTAATTTTTATAATTGTTTTAGAGTTAAATCTAAAGAGTACAGAGCTATGGAAATGTTCTGATTTATTTTACAATTAAATAAAGGGCTTTTTGTGTTTGTTTTCTTTTTTTTTTTTAAATGCCTTTGGAGTCACAGACTGTCAAACCCCACTTCAGCAGCCTTTTGAAGGGGTCCAAATGGAAGAATAATGTCTTAAATATATATAAATTTGGTTACAACAGTAAATATTTACTACAGAAATGCAGTACCTGGAGAGTAAAAAAGTAAAGAGGAAGAGAGGCAGTGCAATTTTATGTTTTATTTGAACAATAGGGAAAGGCTTTGAGGAAAGAGGAATCAAACTGGGATTCATAGAAAATTGCCTCCTTCATTTTACTTTTTATAGGGATCATTAGTCAATCTTCTGCATTGATGCACTTTCACTGCCCCCTCCTCTGAGCTTTGCCAGCTGATACCAGCTAAAGCTGTCTGATATAATTCTCACTTTCCTTGTGCTGTAACCTTTAACTGTGTGTTTCTCACTATTTAAGTCCGAGGGGTAGAAAATAATTCCTGTTATTAGAAATAGGTTGTGAGCTTTGATTTGGAGTCAGTAGCTGAAGAAGAGGGGAGCAGAAGGATGGGGATTAAGAAGCCTGGGCTGCTTTGCTACAGGCTTCCTGTGTCACTGAGCAAGTCACTTAATCTCCCTGTACCTCTTTCCCAGCCATATGCAGGGATAATAGCTTTTCCTTAGCTTATTGCAGTGCTGTTAGGATAAGGACTCTGAAGGGATTAGGTCCCGTAGCTGGAGGCTTTAAAAGCACTTTGGATGGATAAAAGAAGTTGCTGAAGGCAGCTATTGAGGTCCTAACATAAACTGTACCAAAGTTACAGTGGTGGCCTGGCATCCTCCTGATACTCCTATCTCCCTTCCCTAGCCTGACTAACACAAAAAAATTCTCTTATGTAGCTCACACGTATGAACAAAAAAGGAAGTGTCAGGTAGTGTCCCAAAACTTTTAAGTACAGTCATCCTGAATGTTCTTTCAGCCAGTGGTGAAATGCAAAACAATAACATTGGATATCTCCAATTCTCTCTTAATTAGAGTTCCAGCTCCCTTTAACCTTTAGAGCTAAGTAGTAAATTGCTTCCAAAATATCTAGGTTTGATGAGAAATCTTTTAGTCATGATTTTGACATGACCCTTCTTTACTAGAAAACTCAGATTCAAAGACAAACTCTTAACAGATGCCTTGTGGGACTGGAGCCACATTGGCTCAGAGAGGCACTGCCTTATGCGGCTGCCCAGCTAGGCTGGTTTCTACAGAGCTCAAACACTGGTGGGGCTGAGCCAGAAGCATGGAGACCCCTCTGTCCTGTTCTGAAGTGCCTTGGGAGGCCAGGAGGAAGACAGGTGATGCAGGTATCTTTGTGTTTATTTTTTCTATTTTGGATATTATATGCTGCTTAATGTTGAGAGGGGGCTCATGCCTTGTTAACCTGCAAGATCTGCTGGTGGCATTAAAGCCACATACTTAAGGACTGACTTCCTAGAGTCTGTGCTGTCCCCTCTACAGTGGGTGCTGCATCTCTTCTGGTGAGCAGTACTCTGCTTGCGGCAGTTCATTGCTCTGACCCACAAGGTCATGAGGGAGGCAGCTGCTCTTACTGTGTAAGGAGAGCACAACTCCAGAGACAAAAAGCTTGTAAAGAGTAGCTCTGCACTACAGGCAGCACCCAGCTCTGGTTACTCTTGTATTAGATTTTATGTATTTAATTAAGATGGATATGTTAATTACAAGCTTGCTGTACTTTAGCACAAAGATTGCCATCTCTCTTTGGTAGTTACAGTAACTTGTGCTGGATGGTCAGGGCAGCTGTAAAAACACCCATTCTTCCCATCCATTCCTTCCCTTACACAGCGAACAGAGAAGCCCCAGGAAATATAGCTGAAACCAAATTAGATGGCAGCAAGGATGCTGGAAGAGGACAAGCTGGGAAGTGTCTACTTTATGCCAAATGATTTTAAGGACAGCTTGGGAGGTGCAAAAAAGATGAAACTTACTGGGCAGAAAAGGTAAATGGCAGAGCACTGAACTTTTGAGTTATGACACAGCTTTGACCAAGAACATTGCTGCACTTACAAACTATGCTTAGTAGAGAAAACATGGCCAGGAAAAATGCTTCTTCTCACACGCCTTCCTTCTGTAGTCTCTGGGATGCTAACAGTGTGTAGCTTAAGAGGGGAGCTCTGTTAACATTTGTAGTAGTGAACAGTGTGACACAATGTTTCCACAGAAAAAATTCTGCTTGTGTTGATTGGGAAAAAGCCTATTTACTTCCTTGACTGCAAAGAAATTTCACAATTTCAATTTTAGCACTGTTGTTGTACCAGGAACTTCCTTTGAAGTTGTTAATGCTCCAGGGAGCATCTTGTTTTGCGTTATTTGACTCTGATATACATTATAGTTGGATTTTGGTCCTTTGTGACAACAGCATAAACTCAGAATAAATCCTGTTAGGATCTTGGCCCAAGGCCCTTCAATGGAGTAACTCCATTGCAGGTGGCAGCAGCATCTGGTCTTTTATGTTTTTAATAGTGGCTGTGAGGTCCTCAAAGGATGAGCGATTTGTGCTCAGCTCAAGTTCGTTTCTTTCAACCAAAGCTTGATAACGACATCCTCACCCACAGTTAAAAAAAAGAAGTGGTATAAGATACAGCAGGGCTCTGGGTCTGCAAACACCTGCTCCATCACTGGGACTCTGTGAGGGTCAGCGTTATCTGTAGGCATCTCAGCGCACAGGTGATACTGTCAAACTGAATTTTGCAGCTTAAGGTACCTTTGGGGAGCTAACTTTAGTGCCCCTAGGCACTTTGACACTCTATTAATGGGGCCATATTTCCAGCAGCATTAATCAGACCCCAGGATGTAAAAGGGAATGATTCACAGAGAAACACTGTGTTCTCTCAGTCTGTCACTGTGGGAAGGCATTGGTAATGCATAAGTGGGATTTGTAATATTTTTCAGTTCGTGTGCTTAGGGATTTCCTCTGCAGCTTTAGGAAGGGATTTATTTCTCTGCAGGAAGAAGTGACAGGAGTCCCTTGAAAGGAAAGGTAAGGTTTTACAGGTTGAAGTGTGGGTGTGAAGAACAACTGGCTACAGTTGAGGGACCCTGTTCAGGCAGCAGGGTGACTCACCTGCACAAGCTCCTGTACTGAGACAGACCAGATCTGCTGTTGGATTTTAAGGGCCTTTTGTTTTGTCTTTGTTTTAAAGCAAGCTGGAGAAAAACAGTGTAGATGCTTAAGAAAAGAGCTGATGTGCAGGAGATCAGGGCTCTGTTCACAGTGTTGCTGCAAATACTCATCCAGGGGCTGTGGCAGATGTTCAAGCCTGGCCAGCTGCTCTGGTGTGGCATTTGGTGACCATTGGTGAGGTGTGGTTAAGCATTGCTGAATGCCTGAGATGACTAAACCCATGCTGTGTGCAATTCTCACCCCCCACTTCCTCCTCCATTTCTTTCCACTCCCCTTTTGTTCATCTTTACTTGGTTAGTTTCCAGACAAACATCAAGGAGCAGGGGAGTGCATCATTCAGCACACTGAGGAGGAAGACAGGGTCTATGCTCCTATAGCATCAATACAAAATACCCTTAGCAGAGCCTTTTTCGTGAATGGAACATAAGCTCTGCCCTGTTAGTCAGGCCTGTGATCAGTTTGGTCATTGGCCTAAGTTAGGGTAGATAATCTGAATTGCTTGCTGTCTAAAAAGGCAGCAAGGGTGTGGAAGAGTTTGATATAGCGCTATAAAGAAATAGTGTGAAAACTACTTGCAGCATGGGAGGGAATGGGACACCAGGGTTGTGATCTGGGAGTGGAAAATGTGGGCTGCAAGACAATGGAAAGACAATTCCTTTTAAGAGATATGTACTTTTGACTCATTCCAGAAAAGGCATGGTGAACAAACGAAGATGATTTCAGTCACTTTTTATGTTCTCTGGTTTTGATCTAGGTCTGTTCCGGCTCCTACTCAAGGTCCCACCAGTGCTGGGGCTGCAGGGCCACCTCCTGCTACCAATGTGTCAAGCAACAAACGACTGCAGCAGACTCAAGCCCGGGTGGATGAGGTAAGTGGCTCTAGGTGATTTGTTGGTTACCACAAGGGTGCTGATGTGATTATTATTTTTTCTTTAAGATTATTTCCTCCCTAGTGATCTAGCAACTCCTGCTTGTCTGAAGGTAGTGGATCTAGGAAATGAGGTTTACTAAAGGACAACATTTATGAGGAGGCAGATAGTACAAGAGAGATTCTGAGTACGAACATCCCTGTACCAGTAACACTTCTGCAGAATAAATGTGGGTGTTGGTGCCAATTCAGGAATTCATCTCAGTCAGTTAGGTTAGGAGGAAATGTCATAGTAGAACCAGCTTTTTTAACGTGTTCCTGTGTTCCTAAAGGTTAGACGCTAATCTCACAGGGACAGACCATCAGCTTCTCATAGATAGATTCAAGCCATGAGAATTGTACAGCTGAGGGCTGTGTTCATTAGCCAGAGTTCTATTGATTAATCATCACAATTTATCCCCAAAGAAACGCACCCACACATGATGTCATAATAGTATCTTCAATAAATCCCTGCTCCTTTTGTTGGTCTTGTTCCAGCCTGGATCCTTAAATTCTTGTAGCATATTGACTACCCCAGCACCTCGGCTGTAATGCTGGTGTCTACTTAACTGCTATGATAATGGGAATAAGTGAGCATACCGCTGCTCATGGGTGTAGTCCTTGAGCATACCAGCAGTACAGTAGCAGCTGTCGCATCCTTGCACTCCTGCTGTGCAGATTTGTGTGCTGGGTATTAAGTATAGCACTTTGCTAAACCCTTATAAAGACTTAAGTAACTAATTGCTTACTGTCCATGGGGAAGTGGCATGGGCTTGTGTGACTCTTTAATGCCAATTCAATAAAATACACATTAGAAAATAGCTATTTACATGCATAAAAGCTTCTATTTTCAAAAGCTCTAGGTATGCCTTAAAAATAGTAGAGAAGACCTCACAACATCTAACTCAAATGTATTTTTTAAGATGAATTAAATACACCTGTCAAATTGAACTTTGTCTTTTTGAGAACTTTTTCTTTGCTGAAGACCTGTATGTAACAGGGATTTTCTGGCCTCCCCATTGCTGGTGCTTGGAGCTGATCGCAGGAACATCCTCTGGCTGCAGAAATGTCTGCAGAAATTTCTAGGCCCAGTTCCCTCATTATCACTGATTTTCACATCACACTAACTTCATTGACATTAGTGGAGTGTCTCTTGCAGTGGGGAAAGGCATATTACATTTCAGCTTTTGTCTTGGGTCAGAATAATGAAATAAACTTCTTGTCCTGAACATATTACGTCATGATAGTGCTGTAATTGTTTATGTGAGCTACAGCAAAAATAATTGTCCCTAGAAGATGAAATGTAATTGCTAGTTATTGTCTAAAATGAGTGATGCAGGTCAGATACATAGGGCTCTTCAAGCAGATCAATGGAGATGGCTCCAATGAGGCTAGTGAACCCATGCTTTGTGTTTAAGATACTCTGTATTCTGAGACTTCTCACTCAAGCCCACAGAAGTTTGTCTTCTTGTGAAGCATGTTGGCATAATTTTGGCAGGAACTCTTACCCAGTATGAGGGGACAGTGAGTAGCTCGTGGATTTGAGGATTATGCGGGTGATAATCAGAGTCCGTGTTTTTTTGCCTCAGTGGATAGCACATAGAATCATAGAATCGCTTTGGTTGGAAAAGTCCTTTAAGATCATTGAGTCCAACCTCTAACCTAACCCTGCCATCCCACCATTAAACCATGTCCCTAAGCACCTCATCTATCATGGTCAGCAGATCCTTGTTTAATAGGGAAATCAGAGTATAAGAATAGCCAGGGGAGAAAAACGCCACTGGGCTTTCAGTACTGTGAAGTCACTAGGGTGAAACTGGTTTATAGCACATAAGGATCTGATCTGTTAAGCATTGCTTTGACCTTCCTACTAGATCTTTCCCGGTGTTTTTTCGTTCATGTCTTGTAGGAAAGTAATCTGTAGGTGGCACCAAACACCACAGCACAGCACTATACTCTGGCTATTCTGCTCCAAGTGCACTTAAGACCCAAACCCAAAACTCAGCAACATGATCATGACTTTGCTTAAGAGAAAATTTTTGGTCTTAGTAAAATGGCTGACATTTTTAATGCTATAACAATGCTAATATAGTATTTCAGCTATATCCATATTGGGTTTTCCCCCCTGTTTTCTCTAGGCATCCTAGACCTTATTTTCTAAGGCTCAGATCTTAGTTTTGATCTAGACAAACATTTATTTATTTGACAAAAATGCAGTCTCGTCTGGAAAACTGTTCAGTGCAGTCAGGTTAAATTCAATAAATAGTTCTGGGCAAAAAAAAAAAAAAGGAGAATGGGTAGGAAATGTTACAGTATTTTGTTTCAGCTTTTTCAGGTAGTTTAAAGTTTTCACTACGGAACATTGTACCAAGACAAAATTCAGCTAAATACTAGCTGAGAAGTGGAAACAAAAGTTTTTTTAATTTGATATGAAGTTAAATGCTTGGAAGGTTTTGGTCTGGAAAAGCAAGTAAAAAATTTGGGTAGACCAAAACATTTGATTTTGTTTTAGGTTTGGTAGACAAATGAAATAAATCTTTTGAGTTTTGGATCAGATTTAACCCTATGCCACTCCTTTCAAAGATTCTTTCACTACCAGTTTCATCTCACTGTATTTAAATTGTATTTTGTTAATAACTCTGGGGTTTTGCAGGTAATAGTTAAATTATGTTAAATACATATTACAGAGTATGAGAAGTAACAGACTAGCAACCATACTTACAGCTAGAATAAGTGGACACAACTTTACTGAGTTTGGTATACTGTCTAACATTTACATTAGTGATGTATTTGTACAGGATTTCTATTTAGAGTTACTGGCTTGCTAGAAGAGGGTTTTCGTCTAACTCAGTGTATAAAATATGCACGAATGGGCCTTACCTATTGTGTACTGGCTGTGCACACTCTTTTCACTGAGGCTGTGTGATGAGGTGGCATGAGCTCCCTGCTACACTTCAGGCTGAATTTTCTCAGGTAAAATTTTCTCCTCCTCCACTTTCAAGCAGACTTCAAATTATGGCTGGGAAGTCGTCCTGTCCGAGAAAGGTCTGCAAAATGAGTAAATTCCTTCATCAGGAAATGCATACAGTTCCCTTTAGAGTGGCCTTTATCTAAACTATTTCTCTAGTTCAGGTAAGGAAATTATATTAAATGTATAAGGAAAATAATGGCTTGGTCTTGGTGATGACTGGACAAATGTCAACCAAATTGTAGTAGAGGTACTGGCCTCCATCAGGTTTTTTGTATCTATTGTGAAGTAGCTAGTTGTGGCTAAAAGAAATCAAAAGCTTTAATATAATGGCATTTCATAATGTCCCTTTATTTTTACCTTTAAGGTCATCTGAGCACAGTATAGCTATGTTCATCTTGTTCTCACTGGGTCTGTTTCCATAGGCATGGTTTTTGAGGCACTGTCCAGGCAACTGCCATCACATACCGTAACGGCAAATGGCTGGTTCTGGTATGATATGTGATATTCCACAATGTGAACATAGGGGTGACCTTCAGTTTTACTGTGTGTGGAATCTTAATGTGAGGCTGTGCCTTTGCAGGTGGTAGACATCATGAGAATGAACGTGGACAAGGTGCTAGAAAGAGACCAGAAGCTATCAGAGCTTGACAACCGGGCAGATGCATTGCAAGCAGGTGCCTCACAGTTTGAAACCAGTGCAGCCAAACTGAAGAGAAAATACTGGTGGAAGAATTGCAAGGTAAGGAATATAAAGTCTTGTTATGAATAACTTCACAGCAGACGTTACTTTCACCACTTCACAGCAGACATTACTTTCACTTGCATTTAATGTGACTTTGCTTGCAGGATGGCATCTCTAAGTGGTTTCTTCTTGTCAAGGGGAGAAAGAGATGCCTTGCCCTCTAGGCTCTAGGATAATAAGTCAAGCAACTTTGACCTTTACCAGAACCTATTCTTTAGATGATTTCTGCAGTGTATAAATCGTAGATACAAATTTTGATGCTTCAGTCAGTACCTGCAGATAGGGATGGGAGCATTCCATGTTAATTCATGTCAGTTCCTTGTGTGAACCACAAAACCTGAACAGGTGTAGTGAGTTCTAGTAGTGGTAGAAAAGAAGGTTTTTCCTTGTGGGAGATCTTTCTTTAGGATGGTAAACTACAAAAAAAAAAAACAAAAACAACTTGGTTTTACAAACCGTTGTGAGAAGTGAGGAAATTACAGTCTCTATAAAAAAGAGGGGCGGGTTAGGATAGAGCAGGACTTTAATCAACCAGCTCTCTCCTCTGCTGTCTTCAAAGTCTCATCCTTCCCCACAAGCACAGAGGGAACCTCACTCTCCTTTGCTTTTTCAGACCTCCTCCAAGATTTGTGTTTTCTGGACCCAGAAACTTCAGCTCCTGTTACTTACAAAAGACCCCATATCTTTACTTCTTTCTACTCATGCCCCACCAACACATGAATGCTATGCCAAAAGTTCAGCTTCATTTTAATTTCTCTTCAATACCATCTTTGCTGCTCATCATTCAAGTCCACCCAAATAAAACCACCTGTTCCCAAAGGAGAATCCCGCATTGTGTCTTTTACCAATCTGTTGCCTGCTTTGTCTCTTAATCCACAGTGCTATGAAATGTAAAGCAAGGCAAAATATTCTGGGTAAACTACATGCACAAACGTGCCAGAAATAAGTGGATCTAGTTTAGAAATTTAATTCAGCAGTTCTTCTGGGCTTCTTCTAGCTGTTGCCCAGTTACTTAGCCTGACAGTGCAGGAAGCAGGGCTTTTGGGAGCTACAGACACAGATATTGAGTTAGGTTCACTCACACTGACTGCAGTCACAATGACCTACAGTACACTAGATCTTCAAACCTACCGTCATTCTCCTTTCCTCATTGTCCCTTCCTGCTTTGCCCTGAAAAACAGAATCCCCCTGTCCTTCCTCTGGCTCCCAAACTCTGGAAGAAGGGGGAAAAATAAATAAATCTCCTGCAAGCCAAAGGCTGGCTGTGTCCTCTAGACATAAGTTGGGAGGAATAAAGGCCTTGATTTGTTGACATGTGCATGTCTGTTGTTTTTTAGTGTTTCCATTCTCACTGGGGTAATGATGGGAATTGAACTGCAGCATCTCTGGTGGCCTCATTAGCATTTAGCAAGTCTCACATAGGGGCTTCTACCCCACACAACTCAGTGCTGGTATGGTCTGTGCATAGCTGGCTCTGATGCATCTGTTCTTGTGGGAACAGACTTCAACTTTGTGATGAGCTATTTCCAGGCTAACATGCTGGAAACCATGCTGGTTATCATGGGCTACCTCTCTCAACAGCACAAGTACACAAAGCCAGCACAAATAGCTGCTAGGTATTAGACAC